GAGCTTATTATCCGTGAGGAAGTGTTAAGGCAACTACATGAAATAAGCAACAACCCATTTGGGAAGCATCCAAACAAAAGAAAAAGGAAATGAAATCTTGAAGACCTTAACTGATGTAAAAAGAGTATATATTCTTCAAGCTTCTTTATTGGAAAAAATTGAAATTAAGGCACAATCTTGATGTTATGCATATTGAGAAAAACATATGTGATAATATCATTGGAACTTTGCTAAATATTGATGGAGAAAATAAGGACACTTTGAAAGCAAGACAAGATTTATATTATATGAATATTAGGAAGGAATTGCATTTGGTTAAGAAATAAGATGGATCATATGAAGTTCCACATCCATGTTATATGTTAACAAGAGAAGAGAGATTGAAATTTGCAGAATTTTTGAAGTCTATTAAGTTTTCAGATGGTTATGTTTCTAATATCTCTAGGTGTGTGAATGGTGATGTTAAACTTATGGGTTTAAAAAAGCCATGACTGCTATGTTTTATTACAAAGAGTATTACCTGTTGGAGTAAGTTTAGAAAAAGAAGTTACCAATGTGTTATCTGGATTAGAGGATTTCTTTAGGAAGTTGTGTTATAAGATCTTAAAGGTGGCAGATTTAGATGTCTTACAAAATGATATTGTTTCATATACTTTGAAAGTTATAGATGATTTATCCACCGACTTTCTTCGTTGTCATGATACATCTAGCAATTCACCTTCCACAAGAAGTTGCTCTAGGTGGACCAGTACAGTTTAGATGAATGTTTATGATTGAAAGGTGATATATACTTCATATAATAATTTTCATTAACTCTGATCTCTATTTACCTTACCAACACTTATATTGTAATATAATATAAAAACATCATTATATTCTTGTTGTAGGTTCTTAGGCTCACTTAAACATTATGTGAGAAATAAAGCTCATCCGGAAGGATTAGAGGGTTATGTTGCAAACGAATGCTTAATTTTTCTTTCTTTATACCTTAATGGAGTAGAGACTCGTTTCAACAAACCAGATAGAAATAATGATAGACAAGAAACACATGATGGGTTGTCAATATTTTCACATAAGGTTCGTCTCTTTGGCACTTGGAAATATGAAAAATTAACTAAGGAAGAACTTAATAAGGTTGAATGGTTTGTATTGAGTAATTGTGATGAAGTTGAATCATATTATATATATATATATATATATATATATATATATATATATATATATATATTTAATATAAGATCATATAATTAAATTTAAAATTTATAGCTAATTCATTTTAGTTAATATTTTCTTATTCTTTCTCTCATTCATAGTGAACACATTGTGCCGGTCTTTAATGAACTCGTATGTATTAAATTTCATTTATGGTCCAATTGAGATATATATTTAATTGATTATTGCTTATTTATTTTACCAAGATGAGGTATGTTTTGTGCCTAATACAATTGCTTTGTTTAAGTCCACACGTTGCAAGAATGACAAGTGGATTATAAATGAAACTGAGGAGAACTATGTATGTGATTTTAGAAACATTAAGCAATACAAATCTTCAACTATTATTATGATCTATAATATTTTATAACATTTTTCATTTAAAGTGAATTTGTCAACTTTTCAAAAAAGAAATGGTGGTCATGCTTGAGACTTCAGAGTTAGAAAGAAACCACATGACTGCTGATCAGGTTTATGATGCAGTAATGCGCAAAAGATCATGATATATTAAAGGAATGGGAAATGGACCAAAACCGGTGACATCTACATCTACTTGAGCAAACAATTCCCATATTGAGGAGCAAATGAAATGAACAAGTATGAAGAGTTACTTGCTGCATTAGCTGTAGAGAGATCAACCCAAGATTGTATCAATATATTATTAAAATTACTACTATTAATTATAGAATTGAACTTTTAATTTTTTTTAAGTCAAAGGAAGGGGGATACCCGTATTATTAAGAGAGTGGTATGCAAACGTTTAGTACATATTACAATTATATTAATTATAGAATTGAACTTTTAACTTTAATGCATCATAAAAATTTTAGAATTGCAACTTGGTAACCATTTTTTTTGTGAATTACAAGATAAGATACACAACTAAACTTAAGTTTTTTATTTATTTATTTTTTAAGTATTCGGTCTTTTAAGTGAACTAACTCATAAGTTTTTATTTTTTAATTGGATTTTGTAGGGTATAATTTTTTACATAGTTTGAACTTTTGGAGTCGAAAGCTATGAGAATGGACTGTGAGCCAGCTACAAATCAGTATTATTTAGTTCTTTTGTGTTGGAGAATCTTTTGTATCATTGCCGGAAGGAGTTGGAACATCTTTAGTACCCAACTTTTTTTGCTAAAGAAGCTATTATCCCTAAGCAAATTAAATTTTGTTGGAAGTACTTATAATAATTTTTAAATTAGCAGTGTTTTGTCAATGTGAATAAAAACTAAATAAATATGAACATGATTTTGAAAATTAAAAAAAAAAATAGTAATAACTAATATGATATCTCATACTTGGGTACTATAAGTATATTTCTTTTAAAAAAATGACAATACCCCATACTTTTATAGGCTTATTATATACATTGCAAATGTGTGCGTGCGTGCGTGTGTGACTCTTACATTAGAATTATCAATTGCAAGACTCTTTCTAAGTCTAGGTGTGACTTCATGTTTTGAAACCTACATCAATCCTACTATTTTGGATAAGTTTTCTTACTTTGATAACTCAATATATTTCTGAAATTATTTTTACTTTTATATTATATTATATGGAGAATAACTTCATTATCAAGACTGTATGCAAGTTAGTGTGTAGGTTTATGGTTTTTTTTTCATTTACATTTTATGGTATATATTTTGAACTTGTTCACAATAGTTGAACGATAGACAAAGTATGTTTTTTTCCCTTAGATATCATTAAAATTCCATATGTCATATTGACTTGTGTTTTTAATTATTGCTAATGAAGTTACTAATGTCATATTAACTTATGTTTTTCTTTATCAATAAAGGGACCAGGTAGCCTGATGCAAAACTTGGAAATTTCATATTATCGAGTCTAATTCAATGCTCTTTTTAATATATATTGTATTGTAGTTATTAGCAAATCTATTAGAATACTTATTTTAACTACATCCTTGTAATTCAATACTATATTACAATATTTAATGCTAGTCATATCAAATTTACTAATTATATACTATTGTATTCTTTTTATAGTTAGTTTTTTATAATTTCACTACAATAAAAATATTTACAACCACAAACAACATAATATTTATTGATGCATTTTAAATTTTATCAATAAATTCTTTTCAAACATAATATATAAAATACCAGCAAATGTATATTATGTGATGAATTTAAAATTTTGTCAATAAATATTTCTTGACTATTTCTCAATTTTCGCCGCCAATCGTTATCATTGATGGCAAGCATAAAAAATAAAATAAAATAAAATATATATATATATATATAAAGCATTAGTAAAGCTCTAATTAACAACCCTTTTTTTTTAACTTCGTCGTGCATACTTTTGCCGACGTTTTATTATATATTCGTCACAAATTCAACGTTTCAAACAACATAATTTAGAGTATATAAAAACGTCGACAATTATAACATTTAACGATGAAATTTTAATTTCGTCAGTAGTACCTTTCCATACGCCACAAGCATGGTGATGTTTTTATTTCGTCACTAATAATTATTACTAACGTTTTTCTTTTATTTACCGACGTTTAAACAAATGTGTAATTTTTTGTATGCTGTCACTATAATGGCCAAAATCTTTACATTCCGTCGTTGAAAAACACTTATATTGAAAAAAAAAAAAAAAAAAAAAAAAAAAAAAAAAAAAACTTTTGCATGCGAGCTCTATATAAATTGTAGCAACAGATGAGCTAGAGACCATGGTGCATGTGTATGTGTCTTATGTTTTAAGTTTTGGTGTCTTTGTTATAAAATTTTGTACCTTAAAAGTATGCATTTTGTACCTAAAAACAAATTAGTAATTGTGTTTTATGTCTTGTGTTTATGTGGCTTGTGTTGTGAAATTCTGTGCTTATGAATACTCAAATGAGATTTGAAAAATAAGTAAATACAGAGTATATAATATTTGTGTGTCTTGTCACTCTTGTGTTGTGATTTGTTGTGTCTTTTAATTTGTTATAAAATTCAATATCTTACAAGTATGAATTTTGTACATCGTCATTTCAATTCAGGGTCTATAATGCTATGTAAACTCTGGTCCATGATATAAATTGACATGGGCACCGTACCTGCCTTGAGCGCAACATAGGGAGGGCCCCTCGCTTGGTCTCTTTTTTTTTTTTTTTCTTTTAATGAAGTTTTTTAAAAAAATTGTATGTGCAAATATTTGAACCTTAACTTCAAAATTACTTATTAATATTAAAATTCAATTAACAATTACAACCATTTGATACATTAATTCCGTTAATAGATATATATTAATGAACTTTGAATTAATTTATAATTAAACTTCATATAGGTATATCTCCAATCCTTTTCTAGTTAACTTTAGTACGCGTATACGATTGAATCCGCAAATTGAATACACACGCAATTTGGAGTTACAAATCACCAGTCACATTTATTCCTTTGCTTAGGCATTGTCCATTCGCACAATGCTCGTGAAAAAACTAGTTATATATATAAGAAACTGTGAAACGGGTCGAGTTGGATCAATATGGAAATGTAATACTTATACTGAAAAATGTAATACTAATAAGAAATAAAGTATTTGTAACTTATAAAAGAAAATGTAATACTTTTCAAAAAAAAATATAATACTTTTACATTTTGATATAAAAGTATTACATTTTTCATCAAAAGTATCACAATTTCTCTTACAAGTAATGTTGACAAGTTTTTGTTATTTATAAGAAAATCAGAAAATAAAAAACTTATTAGGAAAAATTAACACTTATCACATAAATTTTTGCCTACATATAATAGAGTAAGTAAGAGACATGAGAAATTAAGATAGAGAATCAACATATAGCTAGCTTATTATTCTTCATATAATCTAGTATATATGCAGTGTATGAAGAGTTCTAACAAACTAATAAGACTATAAATATGAAAAGGTTTATAAAGAAAACTATATCAAAGCTTAATCAAAGGAAAAAGAAAAAAATTTTGCCTTCAATATCCAACCTTCAGATTTTCCAATTCTCATATTCTTTCTCTCATTCTCTCCCTTCTCTCAAATTCTCCCTGCAATTTTTCCCCAAGTTCAAGAAAATGGCAGACAGCAAGAAGATGGAAGAGGGTCCAAGCTCCAATGATCAGGGGATAATGAAGACCTCTCAAGCTCCTCAAGCTCCGAAGGTATATAATATGTAATAGTTATTTGAATATTATGGCTGCACAATTTGGATACTTGTTCAAGAAACTATTAGCAAGAGTACTAAAGTTATTTGAAAATTATGGGCTGCATAGTTGGATACATGTTCAAGAAAGTATATTGGCAAGAGTACTAAAGTTATTTGAATATTATTGGCAAGAGTACATGTTCAAGAAAGTATATTAGATAACATCTTTATTATATTTAATCCTCTCAATTGTTTATTTCAATATAGAGAATGAATCAACAAAAAGAAGCAGGAGTAGGGAGGGAACATTACCACCAAAGAAAATTCTCAAGACTGATGCATCAAATATCCCCTCCACAAGCAGACAGGCCAAAGCAAACTCCCAAGGAAGTGGGAGATCTGAAATAGATCGACAAAAAGAATGACTTTTTGGGAAACATAGACAATATATTTCAAAATGTAAAAGAAAGTATCGAAGCGACATCACTCACACCAGCTCCTGCAGCCACAGACTTGGCACCAACTGAAGAGGTTATGGAGTATTTCAACAAAGCTGTTGCTGCGGGTGAAGCTGCTGCTTATGAAGCTGCTGATGATGAAGCCGCTACTGCTGCTCAAGAAATTGTTCCTGCTGTTGAAGCAACTGATGATAAAGCCGCTACTGCTGCTCAAGAAATTGTTCCTGCTGTTGAAGCTGCTGATGATGAAGCCGCTACTGCTGCTCAAGAAATTGTTCCTGCTGTTGAAGCTGCTCAAGAAATTGTTCCTGCTGTTGAAGCTGCTGATCAGCTTCCTTCTGCAAGTCCTCTCCAGGACATTGAAGGCTTTGCGCCAACTTCAGAAGTGCTGGGCTACTTCAATGAAGCCGATAAAACTGCTGGGGTTGCTGAAGAACATCAAAAAGATTAGTTGATTTCTTTTTCTTTTTTTAAATCTGATCAAATATGTACAAGGTCATAAAATGTCATTCTCAATAGTCTAAGGTAATCATAGTGGCAGCAAAATCAAACTGAAGTATACAATTGGAAAAACAAGTCAGACCCAGCATTGCAGCATTGTAAACATGCCGCTTGCTGCAGATTAAAGACTATACTCAAGTTTACATCACAAGGTCCTGAAGTCATACCCATATATGCCAAGTATTTAAACAGCCTAGTCTGGGAAACCTAATTGTTTTTAATTTACCAGGTTTCCAGATCATACAACAGTTATTGTCCATTATGCAGTTAAAATTTTACAGACAAAACCCACCTGGTTCCTATTGCAGGTTTCTTTGATGCTGATAGAAATTGAAATGGTGCTTTAGATGGTACTACATAGTTGATACTAATTGTTCGCAGGTTTCTTTGTTTCCTTAAAATTAAGTTAAACAAGGACAAAATAAACATAGAAACACTGTAATAACCCATGCCAAAAACAGGAAAACATGAATATTGTAGAATGCTCCTTCACTAAAAAAAAAAAAAAAAAAAAAGAAGATTGACTAAAGAACTGTCTTTCTTAGACTTCTAGGGAAGTGTCATTGGTGCAGGTTTCCTACTTCCAATTAAGTGATAAACAGAAGTATTTCGTTACTATTACAAGTTCTATGCTATGGGCATATTCAAGAATCAAACCTATCCTTAGAGTCTTGTCCCTTGATTCACTTTGAGGGATCAAATTAATATTTTAGAACATTGCACATAGCAAAAGAAGCTGCACCTTTTTTATCTGAAGTTCCATGATTAGGTCATTTAGACCACCTTTCTTCACCAAGTCATCGTGCACAAGAAGTGTTTCCTATAGAGGAAAACATTTTTACAAGGTAAGGATACCACACAGCACGAGATGATCACTCAACTATTCCAGTGATTATCAACACAAAATTTTAAAATAAAAGAATTACCACAGAGCAAGTGATTATTACTCAGTTGTATCAACAATGATTGGGAACATTAAAAAAAAAAAAAAAAAAAAAAAAAAAAAACTAAAGAATTACAATTGCATTACATGCTGTAGGATAATCTGTTTTGCATCCAACACAATGTGCTTTGCTACATCCAAGTTAGAAGACTTATCAACATAACCAAGTTAGCAGACTTATCAACATAAACATGGCAAATTCCATCTGCAAGAAAAATTATAAGCTTCACCAATGTAGAATAGAGGCACAGTTGACGGCAATCTTAACAAATCTAATCCATGGTGAATTGGTGATGTATAATTACCAGTTTATGCCTCATTCAGGTCATATATGCTAGCAGATGGAGTAAACCAAGAATAACACAATAAATTTCAATCTAATTGCTATGGTCAATGCACCTTGAGCAATTTGCTAAAATCCGTAGTTAGTACCTCTTCAATGAGTTCAATCTTGCAAGGAACATTATCATCCTTAATGATCTTTGTTGCACATAATGCTTGTCGTACAGCTGCAATTTGCTCCTCCATTTGTCAACCTTTTGCCTTTATAATCATATATCGGTATCAATTTTATGCTATTGAAGAGAGGTAATCAGTGTGGACAGAAATACAGAAAAATTCCACAAAAGCTTAATCATAGAAGAAAATGCGCACAAGAGAAAAGGGCAGAGGAGCTACAGGAGCCATTTGAGATGTTAATTGAGCATTTGCGAAGGGGTAATGTAGTTTGAGTGCTGGGCTACTGACCGAACGGTGAAGCTGATAGATTCTGCTGTGGCTGCGTGGCCCCAAACGGCGTCGAAAAGCTGATAGCGCTGGAGCTATGGAGATTCTGAATCAACGAACCCTGCTGCTGAGGTTGTGACTGTTGAGAAAGCGGATTGGAGAACAGGGAGGTTCCGAATGCCGGAGTAGAAGGCGTGACGAAGCCAGGAGTGGAGGAAGGGGTTCCGAAGGCTTGGGTCGACGAAGCTGTTCCGAATGCTGGGGTGGAGGAGGGAGTGGCGAAGGCGGAGGAGGACGGCTGAGTCTGAACATTTTTGGCGGAGCAAGGCGGAAAATGATGTTCAGAGTTGAGGATAAACCCTAGGTACTCACTATTTGAAATTAGGTTCAAGTAATTGCCGCCGTTTTTTGAGAATTTTCATTCATTTTTGTTTTGAGAAATTCCCAAACAAAGTTTTGGTATTAGTGAAATAATTTTCAGTTATCCATAGCCAAAGTAACAACATCTTTTGTATTAATAACGAAAGTAATTTTTAACCTTCATAAAAGCTATGCAAATAATATATTTAGTGATTATTATTCTACATGTCACTATAAATTATTTTTTGTAAGTCTAAATATATTGCACATTTAAACCTCTTAATATTAGCTTAGATTAGTTGTCAAAGTAGTTCTGGATTAGTCATAACGTCTGAAGTAGTTGACTGGATCAGCGCAAGAAAGTAATCCAGGAGGTATGAAGCTTCTTCAAAGTATTTATTCAAGACCCTATCAATGTGGAGATCTAAATCTAATGGAGCAGCCGAAATCAAGGAAGAGAAGAGTGCATGTTTTGAGGATCAAAACAACCTTTACAACCTATATATAATGCTACCTTAATTAGCATTCAATCACGCACTCTTTCACATAACTTTACTCTGAAAATCTTGGTGCATCTATACCAAATCTATAATGTACTGTTGAGTGTGAGGAAAGACTCGTAATCAGATCATGAAGCAATGAAGATCGCCTGCACATCGGATCCACTGGAGTAGTTATAGGTTATACTGTAGTGTGTAATTAACTCTCCTTTTGTACTTCGTTTTTATCATAGTGGATTTGGGTTGATGTGAGTGGCCCCGCGGACATAGGAGTGAGGCTCCGAACTGCGTGAACATATACTGGTGTATGCTTTCCTTTATTACTATTTATTTTATGTTCTTTATTATATCTGGAATAAGATTGCATCTAGTCCAGCTTTATAATTGAAATAAACTTAATTTCTTAAGCCAAATCTTGCATTCAAGACTCACGTGTTTTTTCAATTGGTATCAGAGCCCGGGGACTTAAATTACTAGTCTAACCGATCTGGCTATCACGTGTTTTTTGAACTTAAGATCTCAGTATCTGTTTTTATTTCTGCTTGTCTGGTTTACTTGTTGCTCACTGTGCATTGAGTCTTACAGCATGGAACGACATAGAGCACCTCCTGAACTAACAGGTGACAACTATGTGTACTGGAAGGCCCGCACCAAAATGCATCTACGAGCTCAAGGGGAGAAGGTCTGGAGGGCTGTTCTCACTGGTTGGTCTCATCCTACCAAAGATGGAGACAATACAGGAGATCCTCTAGCCTTCAAACCAGAGGAAGAATGGACAGAGACTAAGATGACTACCGCAAGCTACAATCATAAAGCATTAGATACGATTTTTTCTTTAATGCATGAGATTCAATTTACCATTGTTGCAGGATGTGATTCGGCTAAAGAAGCTTGGGATGCCTTAGAAACTACCTATGAAGGAACCGCATCGGTTAAACAATCCAAACTACAAATGGTTCAAACAGACTTTGAAGATCTAAAGATGAAAGATGATGAAACTATAGTGGATTTTCATGCTCAGGTGCAAGAACTAGCCGATAGGGCAAGCATCTTAGGCGAGCCAATCACTCAAGAAAGACTCGTCAAAAAGATTCTTTGCTCACTCCCTCCAAGATTTCGAATGAAAGTTACAGTCATTCAGGAGCACGATGGATGGGAAAAGAAAACGGTACAACAATTGACGGGAAGCCTACAAACTTATGAGATGGAAATCTTGGGCGGACCTGAAACAAAAGGAAAAACCGTAGCCTTTTCTGTCGAAGACGCTGGAGTAGTTTCTGATCCAGATGAGGTAAGTGACGATCCAGTAGTCTTTTTAACTAAAGGTTTTCCTAAATTGTTGCAACAGGTTAAACAACGACAAACTGGAAAATTTGGCAAGTTTCAAGGACAAAGAGGACCGGGGTCAAGTACTAATCGAAACAATCAAAAGTCAAACTCGTCCAACCAACGACCAGGGGCATCTAGAAACTCTCAATCCAAAGACAAAATCGGAGGCAAAGGGATCAAATGTTATGAATGTGAAGGGTATGGTCATGTGCAGGCTGAATGCCCAACCTATTTAAGAAGGAAGAACTCAATGAAAGTTGCCCTTACATGGAGTGATGATGATGAACCCGAAACTGATCCAGATGAGATCTCCGGAAACTTTGTTGCCTTTACAGCTCTTACAACTACAGTACCTGATCCTACAACTGGCGAAGAATCAGAAATTGAAGAGTATGTGTCATCAGAAGATCAAGATTTACCTGCTCCTTCATTTGAAGTAGAATATAAAAAATTGTATGCAAAATGAGAAATTCTTGTAAAAGTTAATAGATCTCTGTCTAGTCAGGTTAGAATTCTAGAAAATGCCAAAAAGGTGTATCTTTCTAAAATATCTGACAGGGACAGCATCATTGAAGAAAGTCACAAGAAAGAAGAAAAGCTCAAACATGAGATGAACGATCTCAAGAAGGAACTAGAGCATCTCAAACGCAAGATACAAATGATGGACAACACATCCACCTTAGACCAAATTTTAGATTCTGGTCGAAAGACATCTACAAAATATGGGTTAGGTTACTCTGGAGGAAAGGACAAAGCTACTACAATTTTCGTCAAGGCCTCAGGTCCTGACTTAGTTTCTGGAGCAGATCAAGATAGTCCAGAAACTAGTACAGCTCAGCGTCAAGTCAAATTTGCTCCAAGAAAAACATCAACCAAGGTTAGATGGTATAATCCAATATGTCATTACTGCAGGGTACGCGGACATACAAAACCGGAGTGCTTCTACTTTTACAAAGACCAACGTTTTGAGAAATACACAAACAAGTCTATCACCCCATTTGTCAAGCAAATTTGGGTGAAGAAAAGTGACTTTGTATGCCACGTCTCTTTCCACTCTACGAGTACTAATAGAAAAGAGAGATTGTACTTTGATAGTGGATGTTCGCGTCATATGACAGGTGATGCTAAGTTTCTAAACAATATAAAGGGGAGTACAGGAGAAGTAACCTTCGGCGATGGATCGAGTTAAGGGTAAGATCACTGGAATTGGCACCCTAAATGTCACAAGACTACCCAAACTCAAACAAGTTCTCTTGGTGGAAGGACTGCATGCAAATCTGATAAGTATCAGCCAATTATGTGATCAGGAATGGAAAGTCTACTTTACAAAAGACAGCTGCAACGTCACAGACTACCAAAAGAACTGTGTCATGGAAGGTAAATGCTCCTCTGATAATTGCTATATACTTACTAATGATTCTTATTGTTACAGGTCTAGCATAAAAGAATCAAAACTATGGCATCAAAAGTTAGGTCACTTAAATTATCGCTCACTTGAAAAGTTGATCAAGATTGAGGGTGTACGAGGTCTACCTAATATCAAGGTAGAAATAGCCGGAGTATGCAGTGCTTGTCAAGCTGGAAAACAAACTAGAGCAGCGCATACCTCTCAAAATATGATTAATACCACACACTGCTTGGAACTCATTCACATGGACCTTATTGGTCCTACCCGAACAGAAAGCATTGGAGGTAAAAGGTACATTTTAGTTAGTGTTGACGATTTTTCTCGATTTTCGTGGGTAAGTTTTCTCAGGGAAAAGTTAGAAACTTTTGAAGCCTTCAAAGCTCTTGCCCTAAAACTCCAAAAAGAAAAAGATGAGCCAATCATATGCATTAGAAGTGATCATGGACGTGAATTCGACAATCAAGTGTTTGATGATTGGTGTGCGTCGGTTGGTATTTTCCATGAATATTCGGCACCTAAAACACCACAACAAAACGGCGTTGTAGAAAGAAAGAATCGTACGATTCAAGAGATGGTCGGGTTCTTCTAAATGCAAAAGATTTGCCTCAGAGATTTTGGGCTGAAGCAGTCAGTACTGCTTGTCACACGATAAACCGAGTATATCTACGACCTAGAACACATCACACACCATATGAAATATGGAAGGGTAAGAAGCCTAATATTAACTATTTTCATATTTTTGGCTCACGGTGTTTTATCTTGAAGGACCGAAACCCAACTGGAAAATTTGAGCCTAAAAGTGATGAAGGGTATTTTCTTGGGTACTCAACGAATAGTCGTGCCTACCGTGTCTACAACAAAGTTACAAAATCCATCATGGAATCGGCAAACGTGGTGGTTGATGATCAACCTGAGGAAATAATCGAGGTTATAAGAGTCTCTGACCCAGAAGTTACTCCAGAACCTGACACAAATAATCCAGAACCCCCTGAAACTGCATCATCAGATCCTACTCCGACTCCTCCATCTCCTAGTCCAGAACCTGGTCCAGAACCAGATGCTGGAGCACTCGAATTGGCTATCCGAACTCACAAAGATCATCCTACACAAAACATCATAGGAGATCCATCCTCTGGAGTACGAACTAGAGGTATTAAGCGAAATTACCTTGAGCTTGTAGGGTATACGTGTTACACGTCAAAGATTGAACCCAAGACGGTAAAAGAAGTTCTATCTGATGAACACTGGATTAAAGCCATGCATGAAGAACTCGGACAATTTGAACGTAACAAGGTATGGAATCTAGTCCCTAAACCTGAAGGTGTAAATGTTGTAGGAACAAAGTGGATCTTCCGCAACAAGACTGATTCAGCTGGAAACATTGCTCGCAACAAAGCAAGACTGGTTGCACAAGGCTACTCTCAAATAGAAGGTATCGATTATGAAGAGACGTTTGCACCTGTAGCACGCCTAGAATCTATTCGCCTTCTTCTATGTATAGCGTGTGCTCTAGGGATAAAATTGTTCCAGATGGATGTCAAAACGGCTTTTCTAAATGGATATCTCCGAAGACATATATGTGACTCAACCTAAAGGATTTGAAGACCCTCATCATCCTGATCATGTCTACAAACTGGACAAGGCTCTATATGGTCTAAAACAAGCTCCAAGGGCCTGGTATGAAAGACTATCCCAGTATCTTCTCCAGCACGGCTACAACCGAGGGGGAGTCGACAAAACCTTATTTAT